GCCCGAGGTTCCCCGGCGTTCGCCTCCGCCAGCGCCCTGGCCTTCCCCAGGCCTCTGAGGAGCCGCCGAGACTCCCGGCCCGGCGGAGCAGGTGAGTGCGCCCGCCCGCGCCGCTTCCTCAGACCCGGCCCGCGGGCCGGCGTCGGGGGCGGGGCTCCCCGTCGGCGTCCCCACCTGCTGTCGGGCCCCGTCAGTACGTCAGTGTCGCTTTCCGTCAGTGCCCTGACGTCATTGCACTCGCCTGTCAGCGCCCCCCACGTCAGTGCCCCCTCTGTCCATGTCCCCTGTCAGTGCCCCCATGCCAGTGTCCCCCATCAGTGCTCCCTGCCTGTCAGTGTCCCCCACGTCCGTGCCCCCTGCCTGTCAGTGTCCTCCACATCAGTGCCCCCTCCCTGTCAGTGCCCCCCATGTCAGTGTCTCATATGTCAGTGCTCCCTGCCTGTCAGTGACCCGCATGTCCATGCCTCCTGCCTGTCAGTGCCCCCTTACATCAGTGCCTGACACCTGTCACTGCTTCCCACATGAGTGCCCCCCATGTCAGTGTCCCCCATGAGTGCCCCCCACATGAGTGTCCCCCATGTCAGTGCACCCCACTTCAGTTCCCCCTACTTCAGTGCCCCCCGCCTGCCAGTGCCCTCATGTTATTGCCCCCATGTCAGTGCCCACCCACACCCGTGCCTCCCCCACATCAGTGCTCCTTGCCTGTCAGTGCCCCCATGTCATTGTCCCCCCCCACGTCCGTGCGTCCGTGTCCCTGTCTGTCTGTGCCCACATGTCAGTGACCCCCCACGTTTGTGTCCCCTGCCTGTCCGTGCCCACCCACATCAGCGCCACCGTATGTCAGTGCGCCCCCACATCAGTACTCCCCACCTCAGAGCTCTCCATCTGTCCGTGCCTTCAACATCAGTGCCCCCTGCCTGTCGGTGCTCCCCTATCAGCGCCCTCACATCAGTGCCCCCACGTCAGTGCCCTTCAACATCAGCGCACCCCATTTTAGTGCCCTGCCATGTCTGTGCCCCCTGCCTGTCATTGGCCCCTATATCAGTGCCCCCGACATCAGTGCCTCCATATCTACGCCCCCGCCTGTCAGTGCCCCCACGTGATTGCCCCCCATGTCTGTGCTCCCCAGCTGTCAGTGCCCCCGCCTGTCAGTGTCCCCACATCTGTGCCTCACCACATCAGTGCCTCCTGCCGGTACTCCCCCACGTCAGTGTCCCCCTTGTCAGTGCTCCCTGCCTATCAGTGCCTCCTATATCCATGCCCCCCACGTCGGTGCCTCCCACATCAGTACTCCCCCATGTCATTGCCCACCATGTCAGTGCTCCCCGCCTGTC